CAACTTGTGATGCCCCACTTGGATGTAGATTTTCGACTTGCGCTAGACACCCACGAAATTTGTTACAACATTTCATGATTACACCCCATCGAGATGAAATAGACACTTGTGTTCTTGAGTAATCATTCTGCAATGAACAATAATTTTCAAAAATTCTTCCCCAAAAATGAGCATGAGATTGTGAATTCCGAACAATTGGGTCTTCAGTAATGTGACACCAAGCTCTACAAATTGCCACATCTTCTTGCGTGGTAAATGATTTTCCTCTCTTTATTTTTGATGAACCTTCCATAGTGATTGTGTGAAAAAACAAAGAAGAAAAATAAAATTCAGATGACCGTTTGGGGTGAAGTTTGGTGTGAAATAAAATTTAGATACAAAATTTAGATAAAGAGAAGAAAAGAGAAAAATGAAGTTTGGTGTGAAATAAAATTCAGATAAAGAGAAGAGAAAATAAAAATGAAATTTAAAATGTTTGGTGTGAAATAAAATTGAGATTAAGAGTTTTTATTTATAGAAATACAAAATATGACCGTTTGTAAAAAAATGCCCGTTAATTTATAACTTTTAAAAAAAAAAAAAAAAAAAGAGCCGTTGTTCAAACCCATGTGCCTTCCTTTCACAAAATAGCACCGTTGGATTATATAATCCAACGGCTCATCCATCTATCTATCTAGAACAATCCGTATCTATCTATCTATGACACCAAGCTCTCTCTCTCTGTCTGTTTCCTCTTCATTGCCCTCACCCACCGATCATCATCTCTCTCTCTTCTTTTCTCATCTCCTCTCCTCAAATCTTCCAAATCAAACCCTAACCAAGTCGATCTCTCTTCACTGATCTTGGTCTCCATTGATGAAGCCGATCTCTCTTCCTTGATCTCGATCTCGCTCCACTGATCTCGATCTCCATCAACGAAGCTGATCTCTCTCCACTAATCTCGGTCTCCATTGATGAAGCCGATCTCTCTCCACCTCTCTCGGTCTCCACTTCTCTCTCTAAATCATCTGTATCTATATACAATCATATACACATATATACGTATACGTATGTATATCTATATACGTATACGTATCTATATCTATTTGCAAATTTTATTTTTTTGATGCTGGTTTATTTGCTAAATCACTTCGGCTCCAATCAGATTTCTATCTAATATATCGGATCAAGTCTCCGAATGAATTAATCAGTTTTTTTTTTCTGGAATCTGTTTGATGAATCTGTAAATTTTTTGGATTTGGATTTGTTTGAATCTATTTGATGAATCTGTGAATATGTAATTTTTTTGGATTTGTTTTTTTTTCTGTGAATCTGTTTGATGAATCAAATTGAGAAACATATAATATTTTTTTTTTTTCTGTGAATCTGTTTGATGAATTGGTTGAGTTAGCATGAAGGGACGGAAGGAGGGAGGGAAGAAAAGAGGGAGTGAGGGAGGGAAACCGTTGGTTTTACCTGAGTTGGCATGAATGGCAGCTGCCAAAGCGGGTGTCAAATTTGACTCAAACTTTGGCATTTCTCAAATTTGACAGCTGCTATGTTTTGTCATTAGAGTATCAAAATTTAATGACAGCTGCTATATATAGCAATGGCAGCTCCAATGGCAAACCATTGGAGATGCTCTTACCCACCCATAATTTGTGGTCGATCCGGCCGGGTAGACAAACTAAAACAGTTGTGAGATCCAGGTCAGAAATTATTCATAATGAGAAGTTATTCCATACCCCTAGGGTATGAGTTAGGTCAAATCATGAGCTTCTACAACTGATTTAGAAGTTAAGACTTATAAGACAAGTTTCTCTCCGTATCTCATTTATCCATACTTTTTCATAATTTTTTTATGAATTTTAATTTAGACCGACATTAATGATTCGAACTATCTATTTTGTAGGCCTCACAATAAAAGTCATTTATAAAAAATTAACTTCATTGGACAATTATAAAAAACAAATCACATTTTATTTTATAAAATAAATAGATTAAATTTGATCATATTTATTATTTATTTTATAAAACAAAATATGATTTTTTTATATTTATAATTTTTTGATGAAATTAATTTTTTTATGTGAGTAACCTTTATTGTAGAACCTACAAGACAAATATTTGGAGAATTGACCAGTAAATCCCGTTTTGTAGACTTGTAATTCATAAAGTTCTAAATGTTTTTTTAGTGACTAAATGATCCTTTAAACTATTTGTTGACTGTTTTGCTATTGTTAATACAGTTAGGGGACAGGTAACATGGTTATGTATGAGGAAGATGGTAGGGTGGTTGTATATCACGTTGTTCGAAAAGCACACTAATAACGTTTTAAAGTTTGGTTGTTATAGTCAAATTTAAAAACTAAAAAAATATAGATAAATAATACGTTTATTTTTTTTAATTCAAAAAATATATTTAAATTAAAAACTTTTTTTCAACAGAATATTTAAATTCTTTTTTAATTGAAAATATAAATAAAACATTTAAACAAATTGAAAACATAAAGTCTTATAAATTATTAGGGTGCTCGCAGTTTGGCGGTTCGGTTGTGACGAAAGGAATCTCAAATCCGTTATCCGTCCGCCAAATTGGCAGATTAGAGAAAATCAATCCGCAATCGTCCGCTCGTCATCACACATCCGTCCAAAACGCGACAGACCGATTTAATTCGATTAATTTTGACAAATCGATATATCCGTTACCCACCCATAATTTGTGGTCGATCCGGCCGGGTAGACAAACTAAAACAGTTGTCAGATCCGGGTCAGAAATTATTCATGATGAGAAGTTATTCCATACCCCTAGGGTATGAGTTAGGTCAAATCATGAGCTTCTACAACTGATTTAGAAGTTAAGACTTATAAGACAAGTTTCTCTAAGGGGTGAGCGTGGTTCGGATTGGACCGGATTGGGGTAAAATCAGGACCAATTCGTTATCTACGGTTCCTGAAAAATTAGAACCAATCCAATCCGTTTAAATCATGGAACCAATTTGAACCAATCCATTTAAATATGGATTGGATCGGTTTAGGACCACGGATTCACATAATTAAATAATAAAAAAATATATATAACACTTTAATTTCATAAAAATATAAACATAGCACTATGTTAGTTCCACAATAGCAACATCTATTTCTATAATAACGACATACTGTGCTAGAATTTAAACAATCATAAGAAAACTGGTTTCACCATAAATATTTAGACCATTACAAATTAAAACTAAAAACGAACAAACAAAAGTAATAAAAGAAGATATTATACGGTTTTAGGTTTGAGTTTAGATTTTATATAGAATAAGAGAAGATACTATGGGGGAGGATGTATAATAAAAATATATACTATTTGTATACGGTTCGGATCGGTTCCAATCCGGAACCATAGGGTTCAATCCGGAACCAATCCGTGTACTACGGATTTTTAATTTTTCAATCCGGAACCGAACCACGGATTCAAAAAACCAATCCAAACCTATCGGATTGGACTGGACTGGATCGGATTACGGATTTCATGGATTCTTTGCTCAGCCCTAAGTTTCTCTCCGTATCTCATTTATCCATACTTTTTCATAATTTTTTTATGAATTTTAATTTAGACCGACATTAATGATTCGAACTATCTATTTTGTAGGCCTCACAATAAAAGTCATTTATAAAAAATTAACTTCATTGGACAATTATAAAAAACAAATCACATTTTATTTTATAAAATAAATAGATTAAATTTGATCATATTTATTATTTATTTTATAAAACAAAATATGATTTTTTTATATTTATAATTTTTTGATGAAATTAATTTTTTTATGTGAGTAACCTTTATTGTAGAACCTACAAGACAAATATTTGGAGAATTGACCAGTAAATCCCGTTTTGTAGACTTGTAATTCATAAAGTTCTAAATGTTTTTTTAGTGACTAAATGATCCTTTAAACTATTTGTTGACTGTTTTGCTATTGTTAATACAGTTAGGGGACAGGTAACATGGTTATGTATGAGGAAGATGGTAGGGTGGTTGTATATCACGTTGTTCGAAAAGCACACTAATAACGTTTTAAAGTTTGGTTGTTTGTAACATACGCAGTGTGGGACGTTAATTCCTTACTAATTATTTTTTGGCTCGTGACGTGAAGACATGCAGTAATTCAATCAAATTGGGTATGTCACGTTGGAGTACCACATGTCACGTTTAGAAAAAGTACACTAAGGAGTTTTTATGTATGGGAAAAGTGATAGGATGTTTGTGTGTCACGTTGTTTGAAAAGCGCACTAGGAACTTTTTAAAGTTCAGTTGTTTTTAACACGCGCAGTGTGAGACGTGAATTCCTTACTTCTAATTTTTTTTGGCGCGTGACGTGAAGACACGCAGTAATTCAATCAGATTGGGTCTGCCACATTAAAATGTCACATGTTACATTTAAGAAAAGTTTACTAAAGAGTTTTTAATTTTTTTAGAGTGCCACAACATACCCGTCACATTGTCACATTTGAAAAAAGCATACTAAGAAGTTTTTTTATTTATTTTTGGAGTGTCACATTATACCTACCGCATTGTCACACTTGAAAAAAGTACACTAAGGATGAGTAAAATTTTAGAGTGTCACATCATACATGCCACGTTGTCCCATTGTTGGAGTATCATATTAACACTTGTCACATTGGAGTATCACAACATATCTGTCGCACATTCCAAAAATAAATAAATAAACTTTCCTAATTAACTAGTGAGGATATATCTGTCTAATCAATACTCATCCACGTTTAAAAAATGAGTTATTGGTCACACATTGCACCTAAAGAGATTAGACAATGTGGCGGGTATTTTAGAGTGTCACCAATGCCAATATATTGAAAAAAAAGGGTCTCAACTTATTTTTATAAAGAGATTAGAGGAAAGTTTATCCCTTTCGTATTAGGTGATGAGCAACAGCAGGGAACGTGTTATATTTTGATTGGTCAGTGACATGGCATGATTACCAAAGGATATAAGCAAGAATGGAAGACAAGAGTTCGCTCTCCATTTTCTATCTCTCTCTCACTCTCTCTCTCTATCTCTGCTATCCGATTTGGGCCTCATCTCATATCCATGGCTACTCAAGGTCAGGTCATCACCTGCAAAGGTACTCATCTCTCTCTCTCTCTCTCTCTCTCTCTCTACAATGCATAGATTTATATACGTATGTATGTATGTATGTATATTAGTTTTCAACTTCTTCCCTTACGAAATCTGAAGTTGAACTGGTTGTGATGTGTTTGGTTGCAATGGAATCGAAAAGCTGCGATTGCTTGGGAAGCGAACAAGCCGTTGTCGATCGAAGACGTTCAGGTGGCTCCGCCGCAAGCCGGCGAAGTTCGAATCCAGATCCTGTTCACTGCTCTCTGCCATACTGATGCTTATACTTGGAGCGGAAAGGTATATATATATATATATTTACTATAGCTCAGAAGAACTATGTGAATTGTCCTAATTTAACTTACTATGCCTTGGATTTATACATAAAACAATTTGTATACTCTTGTCTGTCTGTTGAGTGTGATCTAACTGGTGGTTTTGGTATATATTTAGGGCATTATTTGATTATGAAATTTGGAATTTGAAGTTTTTAAATAAATAAATAAATAAAAATGTTATTGGTATGATTCTCCAGGGAAGAGTATTTCTTAATAGAACAATTGGATTGTAATTTGTTGTAATTTTGGGACATTTTCTTGAGGGGATTACGATTTCCTTTGTTTTTTCCATTTGGCTTTGTAGTTAGAGTTTGTTTTGTAACAGTGTCCCGGTAGGACTTGCACGGAGTTAGGCTGAAGGAATGCTGTGGACTTAACTAGATATTAGTGGTTGATGCTTATCTTCTTGGCGTTTTGAATGAGATAATGGGAAGGAAGGGAGCGGGATAAGGAATTGATAGTTTGACACCTGCATTTTATTTCATCACTACCATTACTTCTTTGGTTTCATTAATTGTATCTTGGAAGCTTCAGGCATTTTATGGCTTTCAGGTTGTGGTTTTTATGTTTATTATTTCTATTAAGGTTCAGATTTCTATAATATTCATTATTGTCTTGTGATTTGAGTTGGAAAATAAATATTGCAGGATCCTGAAGGTCTTTTTCCATGTATTCTTGGTCATGAAGCTGCTGGGTACGTATTCTTGTGTATTTCTTGTCAGTTTATTAAAAATTGTGGTGTCTTTGATGCTGGAAGATGAGAGTATGGTTGAAATGTTCTGATAACAGGATTGTAGAGAGTGTTGGCAAAGGTGTAACTGAAGTTAAGCCTGGAGACCATGTCATACCTTGTTACCAGGCAGAATGTAGGGAATGCAAGTTTTGCAAATCAGGGAAGACAAATTTATGTGGCAAAGTTAGGGCTGCCACTGGAGTTGGAGTCATGATGACTGACCGTAAGAGTCGTTTCTCCGTCAATGGAACTCCCATTTATCATTTCATGGGAACTTCGACATTTAGTCAGTACACTGTTGTCCATGATGTTAGTGTTGCAAAGATTGATCTAAATGCCCCGTTGGAGAAAGTGTGCCTTCTTGGTTGTGGTGTTCCCACTGGTAAGCAACTCTTTTGCTTCCAAATATAAATGGTTTTACACTCTAGTGGTTAATCTTCTTACTAGCTGATAAAGTGTATTCATAATAAGTTTTACCTTCCCACAAATCCTATGTGCTTGGTTTCAGTTCTACCTGCTTGCTGAGATTTGAATCCAATGGTATAATGCATTTTTTGCATATGCTACTGAAATGTGTGTGCTACTGAGGTGTCTTGCTGAGAGAGTCTATGGTGTTCTGTTGTTTTCAAATTGCTCAGAGCTCATTGTACCATTTACTTTTTCAGAATGAAATCACGGGATTGTTGCTAAGATATCCAATATTTTGCACTCTTTTGAAAATGTAGGATAATTTTGTGATGGTGGCCTATCAAATATTATATGCCGCAGCTACTGTTAATGACATGATAGCGGTTTATGGTTTCTTAATTTAAATTACTATTATTTGTAATCTAATATTCAATTATCTAATTGAATGTATTATATATTTGTTGTCTCTTAGGTCTTGGAGCAGTTTGGAACACAGCAAAAGTAGAACCAGGTTCCATTGTTGCTGTTTTTGGCCTTGGGACTGTTGGCCTTGCAGTGAGTTTTTGAACCATCAGGCCATATTTTCTTGTGCTGACTGCCATACTTGTATGACATAAATAATTAGAGTATTACTTGATAGGTGGCAGAGGGCGCGAAATCAGCTGGTGCTTCGCGAATTATTGGTGTCGATATTGACAGCAACAAGTTTGATATAGGTATAGCTTCACATCCATCCCCCCATGTTATGGGGTGGTCCAATACGTTGTCTTTATTCTCTCATTGAACAATTATTTTGTTGCACTCAAGAATTATTGGTGTCAATATTGATATTGACAGCAAAAAGTTTGATATAGGTATAGCTTCACATCCATCCCCACATGTTTTTTGATGGCGTATAGTTAAAGTTCTGGGGTGGTCCAAAATAGATATTTTCTCTCATTGAACAATTACTTTATTGCAGTTAACTAAGACTAAACCACAGTGTCTTATGTGTTACCCTTTGACTATATGTATTTTGTTCTCGAGGGGCCCTATTTCTAAAAGCACTGGCAATGCATGGCCTCACGTGTATAATATCAACTCATATTGGTGGACTTCATGATTCAGTTGATTTCCTTGTATGAAATTTTATGCAATTAATGCCTATCAAGAAAAAAAGGAAAGGCACTTAATCAAAACATTGGTTTGTTTTATTGAGGATTCATTTTGCTAATATCTTAGTACTGCACATATTGTTTAACTTGGTATTAGGAATTATTGCACATACAACCTAACCTATTGTACCACACTAAGTTTATTTGTTAATATTTTCAATGTTTTTATTTTATCTGAGTCAGACAAATAGAAATCAATCGCACAAGATATGTTATATATGTGATTTCTGAATCTATTTTCCCGTGATAAAAAAATTCTTGCTACCTCCACGTAAATCGGTGGAAAGGGTGGTGTCAGCTAAATATGGTAGTTCTTGAGATTTTCTAGTTTCGAGGTGGGGATGGGGGAAAGTTTTGGCTTATAAGTGGTGTGGTTTTCATGCAGTGGAGAGAGCCTTTCCTTCTGTATTTCTCCTGACTTCTGATAAAGATGTTTGCTTAGCAGATAATGTCTCAGGTGCAGATATTTTTTTATTTTTTTGAGATGGTGGGTTGATAATGAATGTGCAAGATTGGAAAGTGGAACGGTTGATTAATCTTCTCAATATGTTGTACGGGATTAGAAGTGTTGGGGAGCAATATACTTTGGGGTGAGTTGAAGATAAGAAAAGGAGGTTTGATTTAAAGTCTTATTATGGGGCTTTTGTGGTTAATATGAGGACTTTTCCTTGGAATGACATTTAAGAAGTTGGGGCTCCATCCAAGGTGACCTTTTTCTTTGGAATGCAGTCTATGAGGATATTCTTATGATTGCCAATCTTATTAGGAGGTTACGGATTATTTTAATTTCTCTCTCATTTGACTTTATGCATTGTAATGTTGCTGGGGTTTTGTAGGGGCTGATTTTGGCTTTGTTTGGAATGGAGTGGGTTTTCCATAGAGATGTGGTAGGGATCATGCTTGGATGATGGCAGAAGGGTGTGGAAGCGTATGCAGGAGATGACTTTTGGCTCCTCTGTGTTTGCTGTGTCTTTTATGGAGGGAGGTAAAAATGAGGGTGTTTCAACGTGCAAAAAAACCTGTGTGGGATTCCGAGTTTTTTTTTTTTTTGTGTGTGTGTGTGTGACTATTTTGTTTAGTTGATTGAGTGGGCAAGTTATTTCTAACCTTGATCAATTTTGTAGATTTTGTGAATTCTCTTTGCTTGTGTAAGAATTTAGCAGTTTTTCCTTTGCTGTTTTCTTTTTTTTTTTGGGTTTGTTTTTTTGTTGTCTTTTATATGTATATGTCTACGATTATCAAAGTTTAACCTTTTCTAAACATGGGCAGCATCCCCTTTATTCTTATATTTACAACTTGCTTTACCTATTGTCATACAAAGGGGCCAGGTATTGTTACGTGAACCTACTTGTCAGCTTTATGTGGGGTTGCAGACTTCAAATGCTATCATGATTCATGAGTATAAATACTAAATCAACCCTTGCCATTGTTAAGAGTGATTGGTCTGTACACCCAGTTGTACTAATTTTTTCATCACCTTAGACCAATAACCAAAGACCTGGTATGGATCAACCAAACAGTGAACAATCATATCAAGGAGTATGATAATTTATGTTATTTGTTTGGAGGGGTAATGGTCGAACACGAGTTCATCTGACTAACACTTTTATTTTTTTGGGGTGGAAATTATAATTTGCAGCAAAGAATTTCGGGGTCACTGAATTCGTAAATCCAAAGGACCATGACAAACCAATACAGCAGGTTATTGTTGATCTTACAGATGGTGGTGTTGACTATAGTTTTGAGTGCATTGGGAATGTCTCTGTAATGAGAGCTGCTTTGGAGTGCTGTCACAAGGTAAGGTGTCCAGAATTGGTGAGTGAAATTGTAATTTCATATTGCTGCAGAATTATCATTAAACACATCTGCATTCTTAAAAAAAACTTCAGGGATGGGGTACCTCTGTTATTGTGGGTGTTGCTGCTTCCGGTCAAGAGATATCCACTCGGCCTTTCCAGTTGGTGACTGGCCGTGTTTGGAAAGGAACAGCATTTGGTGGTTTCAAGAGCCGTTCACAAGTGCCTTGGCTTGTGGAAAAGTACATGAAGAAGGTAAATTCATGATTCCGTGTGTACAAGGTCCTTTTTGTGTTTATGCCATTTACTGAAATATTTTTGTTTTGCTTTTGAAACAGGAAATTAAGGTTGACGAATACATCACCCACAATTTGACCCTTGCCGAGATTAACAAAGCATTTGATTTGATGCACGAAAGGGGTTGTCTCCGCTGCGTGCTGAAGATGCACACATGAGATGATCACTCCAGTCATATCATCGTTAATAATATATCGTTTTCCCTTCTCTTCTATCATTCTTTTCTTTCTTCGTTTTTTCTTTTTTCTTTTTTTTTTTTTTTTTTGACTGGGAAATTTCACTTGCATGCCTTCTATAAGCATAGTTGGGGACTGTTTGTGTTCAGTTGCTACATTACATCCTTTAAAAGGAGTTTGTGCTATGGGTGCTATTTCAAATTTAACTATAGCTACTTGGATTCTGGGCATGTTGGAAAGATTTTGTTTGGTTGCCAAGAAATTGAATAGCATCCTGCGAATTGTAGATTGATAGCCGCTCTAAGTTCTTGAACTCCACGCACCAAATTGTTGTTTTAGTTGTGAAGTCATAAAGCCATGGACGAACTCTAAGCTATCTCGCACAAATTCATGCATGATTGTATTCATTAACGTGATCAGATATGGTTCTCAACGCGTGGTTATAAGCTTTTGTAGACAATTGTTCTAGATTTAGCAAATTTCATTCAGACACCACTCTCTTGCCCTTTTTTATATGCATTTATTGTAGATTTAGAACAAAGTAATTTTTTTTTTCTGAATTTTCCAAAAAATAAAATTATTTATAAAAATAACTCACTTCTGAAATTATTTATCAAACTAACTTCTTTTTTGAACATGTGATTTCATCTTGAAATGGCAACTTCAACTTACAGTTTCATGTTGACATGTCTCCCTCAGTTATTGTTGATATGTAATGAGGTGTCATGAGGTGTCAACATGACGTAAAGAAATCGTATGTTGAAGATGCGATTTTGAAATCGCATCTTAAAAACCTGATTTTGTAGTGAAATTAGATTTTGAAGTTGCAATTTCATTGACAGATTTAAAGAACTTGTGGAAAAAGTTTTGAGCATTATACATAACTTTGTTCATAATCACATAAAATTTGATTAATTATGTTGCAAATAATATTCAATTATACATAAATTTTTCTTCTTCTAAATACAAAATTTTAGGTATCCTAGGTACATAGTTGAAAGTATCCTCTTATATTAAGGCAAAATATACAATAAATAGTATTTTCAACAATCAAACAAACCACAATTGCCAGGTTGAAAGCAGTAAATTTGATAAATTGTAACATTTTGCCAAAAATGTAAGGCCAATTGACACTTGTGCACTACCTATTCCTCTTTTCTGGACAACATATTTACTTTTTTTCATGTTGAGCACTAGGAATAGGTACAAATGAAAGTTGTGATGCCTGGTTTAACAATCAATTATTAGCAAAGCAAGTGATTGAATCAAAAATCAATAATGTTTGCATGAACGGAAAAGAAAAGAGTACCTGAAAGCGATTAGAAGATTGTTTGTGTTTGATCTTAGATTGCAAGGCCTTTAGAAGATCGAAATCAAAGGTGGGATTGCAAGGCCGGTGTGGAGGAAAACGACGATGGAGTTAATTCAGTTCACCGTGAGAAGCTGAAGATAGATTTCAAATAGGGATTAGGGATTTGAGACTTGGGCAATTGAAATCGTATGTTCAACATGCATTTTCAAAATCACATCTTGAACATGCGATTTCAAAATCGCATTTTAAAGATAAAATTTTTTTATGCAATGTCAGCAATATCTAAGAGAGACATGTTAGTATGAAATCGCAAGTTGAAGTTGTGATTTCACAAAACTGGTTAGTCTGCTAATTACTTTCAAGTGGATTATTTTCGTAAATAGTTTCATTTTTTGAAATATTCAGGAAAAAAAAAAAACTCGTAAACTGATGCCATCTGAAGAAATTCTGTGAGAATGATTGAAAAGATTAAAAAATGATTAGTTAAGAAATTATGTTGTCTCTTGAATAGTACATAACCAAGGAAGATGCAACCATCCATTCATTTTTCCATTTGTTTATAGGAAAGCAGGTCTGAAAAGATTCCAGAAAGAACTGCTGATATGCCATTTGTAATGAACTCGAGATTCAAAATACCAACTGAATTTTGAAACAAGAAGGATGATTCAAACTTCTGGCAGTTTACAGTTCAAACAACACGGCAACAAAGCTCACATCTATAAACAGAATTTGATCCACCCCCTCTCAGCATCTCTTTCTGTGTATCCTCCTCTTACAGGGTTTCAATAGAATTTGATATGATTTAAACTCAGTACAAGAACTAACAGGCCTCTGTCGCTGCCCTATCTGTTATCTCTGTTATCTATTGTTTGATATGCAATAGATATACTTGTGCGTACACATACACTTCGTAAAACTCATTTAAGAATAACCTTTGGAGTCGAAGTCCCTGTCTCAATCAAGCAAATTTACTCGCCATGGAGTCTTGGGGGAGTCCACTTTCCAGCTCTGAAATCTTTGTAAAAGCTGGAGCTCTTTGAAACAATATAAAATACTGCAGCATAGAAATTAAGGTAAAATTTCTCAATTAAATAAAACAGAACTATCTTAAATAGCAAAGATCTTTGCATGTTATGTAGTTTTGTGATGAAACTGCCATGTACCTGGGATTCCAGGGATAACGAAGTCCAGTTCTTTCAAAACATCATACAGAGTTCTCTTTTCATTGACTTTGACCCATTTAGAAGGACCCCTGCCTGAGGAAAATCATATGAAGTTGATGCACTAAAGCTTTCAGCAACTTAAAATGCCAAATATTCAAGAATGCAATCAAAATGATTTTTAGTTCGAACTAAAAATCAGGGATAAAAGGATGACAAAAAGAAAAATCATGGCCTGAAACTCACTGGATGTGCTGAATATAAAGCAAAATGACGAAAAGAAAAGCATGAAGCAAACCCCAAGTAGTCAAATAAGGGTTTGGTAACTTGACTATTAATTTTAATGCATTCTTATTTTCTCCCAACAATCTGCACATTCTTATGTAATTACACAAGGAAATTAAATAATATTTCTGTCCAACTAAATTATCTTTCCGTGAAATTTCAATTGTTTTTTTCCAACTGATTTTGAAGAAGGGCAGCTCCGCAATTCAAGATCAAGGGCTGTGCCAAAGTCAACCCCTAGTAACTTAAAGGCAGATGCATCAATGTTGGCTTCTTATTCACTGAATATATTTAATTGTAACCAGAAAGCTTTTTAGTGTCCAATATAGCAAGAACAATAATACTAGTCAACAAAACACTAGTTACAAAAAAAGGTGAGGACGGAAAAATCACATCATGTGAACTCTAAAGACATACTACCTGCTGAGGTGCCATGATCTAAACTATCTCCTTCTGCATGTTTCACATTGTCCCCTAAGCTTTCAAGATGTGAACCAGCAGTCCCCTCTAAGAGAGAGCGAAGAATTTCCTTCTTTGATAAACAAACTTCAGAGCCAGCCTGATGAATAGGGTTTTAAGAAATTAAAAGAGTAGTACTGAAAAGATGGACTCATTGAACTACGGAATGTAATTTAACAGTAGAACTTAGAAGTAAAACATTTCAGGGAGCAAGGATGCCAATAAGAAGACATCCAATGTCACGAAAGAAACTCTCTTGGAACCGCCTATTTCTAGAAGAGATTGTAAAAAATAGGGGTGCAACTCGGGCAGGTTCGGTCGGGTTGAAAGGTTATCCAAGGCCAGTCCAAGTTGTGCTGAAATCTGTCCAGGCCTGCGCCAAGCCCGAATTGTAACCCGAGGTTGCATACCCCAACCCGACCCGAGTTAAGCTGAGTTGCCCGAATTGTAAATTAATTTCAGTTTTTTTTTTTTTTTTCTTTTTCAACTACATTATTAAATTATTAAACTTGGACTCTATTTACATTTTTTTTTATATAGAAAATTATTAATACCATCAAAACAAATAATTTATATAATATAAGAGAGATGACGCTATAGTAGTCTTTATAATTTATGAGTGAAAATAAAAAAAATAAGATTTTATGCTATTTATATATATAATATATATTCAATTTGATTTAATAATCTAAATTACTTTAATATCATGTAATGACTAATAATTTATATATACACATATTTAATATTTTTATATATTTATATATGTATAATTCGGGTTTCGAGTTGCTCGGATTATTTAATATCTTTGCTGAAGCCCGTCCAAATTTAATTCGGGCTTCTAAATATTCATCCAAACCCGTACCAAATTTGAAAATATTTTGTCCAAGCCCTAAAAAAAATCGGGTTGGATTCGAGTTGTTCCGGTTGAGCCCGCCCAAATTGCACCCCTAGTAAAAAACAACAAAAATTGTAAAAATAAATGTAATATATGAAGGCCTACCTCATAATAAAGTTCAACAGCATCTCGAGTGTAATTGTTTTCTTTATCCCAAGGCAACGGTGGAGCACTTTCTAAAAACATGTTCGGAAGCTAAGGAGCTCACAAAGTGATTATAAAGTTAATGATCTAAGGACATAGCAAACCAGGGCATTACAAGAACATGATCCATGCAAACATCAGATTTAAGGTATACAAATATTAAAAAAAACACATCCATTGACCCAAACACACAACACAAGTGTGTATAACAAAGGATATCATATCAAGGTGTTCTGAAAACATGTCAGTCTCACAGAAGTCCTCAATAATGTCACTGGTCATAATTTCTGCGTATAGAATAAGAACAGGCCAATGAAGAATATTATCTTTATCTAATATGGGCTTTTTTGATCCAGTGAGTTCTTGAAAACTAGCCTTTCCAATTTTCAAATTTCTATCTTCAATAGCAGAAACAATGGCCTGCATGTTGCAACAGGAAAACGACATAAGCCTTCAGGATAGCATAGGTTTTCTTCTACATTATATCACAATATCAGACCTTAGCTTCTGCCACAGCCTTGGAAATTTGAGCCTCACGGCGTTCATCTTCTGACTTCTGTGAGTCAATTTGTCTGTCTAGCTTCCTTAGTTCCTCGTTATCTGGGGACTGCTGAAGTCCTTTTTCACAATATTGTTTTGCTTCAGACAACAGATTCAGAGACAATGATGCTTTCACAGCTCTATAAAGTGCCTGACCAAAATGCATATTGCTTAAGAACATTGACAACACAGCTGCAAAAGGAAGTGGAAGTGGACATGGAAAATCTTCTTATATAAAAAAAACAACACAAGGCTAATAACATGAGCATGAAGCTAACAACCTTGATATTTGTTGGACAGAGCTTAATTGCCTCCTCGGCATCCACAAGGGCACGTCTATAATTCCCCATCAGTAGATTAACATGGGCTCTATTTGAAAAGAGAATGGAGTTTTCAGAATCACTTAAAACATTCTGATTTATTGCCCTGGTGTAACAATCAATAGCATCCGAATAGTGTTTTTTACCCATCTTGACATACTTGTTGCCTTTCTCCTGTGAAGGCAATGGAAGAGTAATGAAGACCAAAAGATGTGAACAAAATAATGTAAAGAAAGGTTGAAAATTACATAGTCTCAACAGTCACTAAAACTATGATAAGGCCCATGCTCAATAAATCAGAATGTTTATAATTAATAGAATAAGGCAGTATAGTTGATTGTAAAGAAGCATTCCACAAGTAATTTCTGCCTATCGAATACTAAGACCATTGTTTATAATTAATAGCACTAAGAAAATTTTCTTGAGCTCCAACAAGCTATAATTGGAAGATGCCAACATAGAACAATAGGAATTGCATCCATATGCAAAGTGCCCGGTACTTTTTCAATTCTTTATTTTTGTGTGTGTAATGAATGCAATATCCAAAAAATTCCATGCATAGCGTGAAGATGCAAGTACATTATTGCACCAAATAATTTTTCTCCTAGAATACTCAAGAAAATTGGAATGCCCCGCGAAATGTCTCTTTTTGGACTACAGTGTATTATAATTACCAGTTTTAGCAACTATACAGCTAAATTACTGTAAAAAATTATTGCATTTGCATGCAACTAGTACAGAGCTAAATTATTAGAGCTAAAAAAGGCTGAAATTAATCTTCATGAAAGCAGTCAAATCATTCACAGCATATGAATTAGTATTAAATCAGTTATATATATATATATATATATGCATCAAAGGAAGCAAATTTAGAACCCTAGATCGGAACTAGTACAAGAATAGAACGCAGAGAGAGAGAGAGAGAGAGAGAGAGACCTTGAGTTCAATAGCTGTAGATTCCTTAAGGGCGGCTATGGCCTGAAGGTCGGCTACCTCGGTTTCGGTCAAAGGTTCTGAACTTTTGTCCATCCATAGAGCCATTGCTGCTTTGATTTTGCTTCGCTTTGCTATTCACAGAGAGAGAGAGAGAGAGAGAGAGAGAGAATCAGCAGAGTTTCCCGAGTCGAAACGAAGCAGAAACAAGAGAGAAGCAACAACACCACTACGAGCAGTCTCGCTCGATCGCGTCAAGTCTGGGGCCATGTTTCTACAAGCGTGGCGTCATGGACTAGGCCCATATCTGATTATTATTTCTTAACGGGCTTACGGCACAAATAGTATGCTATGTTTTATCCAATGGATTTTATTATATTTCATTTTCATTTTTTTTTTTAATGTGAATTCACACGATAAATACTATGTATATATTATCTTCTTATTTATTTATTTGTTTATTTTCAAAAATAAAATTGAAAGAGTAAAATTTAGATTTCTCATCACATTATTATTATAAGATGAACGGATCTGATTATTTATCACAAGGCTCAGATACAAATATTTGCAAGATGATTCAGCTCATATGAAGAACTGAAGAGAAGCCCTATCTTCCTTTTATAGTCAGGCAGTGTGATTACCTCTCATCGTCTGATCCAACCAAAGCAACACCTTCCAAAGGCATATCCCATAAATCTCAGAGGGCAAAAACCCGACTTGTTCTGGTACTGGTTTGGGCTAGAGCGGCTGAAAAAACAAACAGAATTTTGGGTGGATCTCAGGCATCGGCAAATGGACTCTCTATCTCCATCATCAGTCATGTCCATTTGAGTCAAAGAGATGCCTGAAACCAAAATTGTGTCGCCAACAAACCACCTGCGATTAGCCAAAAATGGTGGAGACGGTTCACCTATTTACTAACCCAACAAAGTAACAGCACCCATGTAACAACAGAAACTTTGTAGGCTAACAGTAGGGTGCTACCACAAAGGTACACCGGTTCTCCTCCCACCTATTAAGAAAGAACCAAGTCAAAGAAAGAACGGAAATAAAAATAAATAAATCCAGCTCTAAACATGAAAACAAAAAACAAAAAACAAAAAAATCAACTCTAGGTATTGAAGCAGCTTCAAGAAACAGATGTCACATTTGAGTAACTTAAAATAATTGGAGAGAATGAAATTTGTGATTTCATAGATAATATTCCATGAAAGATGCCGGTGCTGTACATTTGTAAAGCAGCCTTCAAACAAGGGCTATATGTGCACCTCATAATATTAAAAAAATATAAGACTGTTCCTCTGATAATGGTACAAACCAAATTACTAATCCTCTCATCCAAAGAATATTGTCATTTCCATTCTTTGCCAAACAAAGCGCGGAGTGGCTAGCTTCACACGTGTTAAGACATTTCCAAGAGTTTCATAAATCAAATAAAAAACCTGCATCTAGAGGGATATGTTCTGGAGAGTATACATTCAATCCAGAAGGAACAGAATTTTCTAGATCCCCAGAAACAGGCTGATTCTCCAGAACCCAGTTTTCAAATTGGAAGTCCGGTGAGCTTGGATTGGTGCTTATGGGAATCTGAGGATCAAACTCTGTGACGAGTGGAGGATGATAAGTCGGCCTTACACTTTGAATTTCGGAATTATCTGCCAAAGATAGTTGGTTGCTCTGCCCAGTAGAGCCAACCCAGCTTGTGTTGACATCTGAAAAAGTTGAATCCAGAGCAATTTGAGCGCCATTTCCTTGTTGGAAGCCGACTTGGCTATATACTTGGGCTTGAGAAGGCACCGGATGTACAAAGCTGCAGCCCATGTTTGGCTGGGGAGACACTAGCGGTTGAGGGACTGAATTTATAAAATTGCTGCCCATGTTTGGCTGGGGAGATAATAGCAGTTGAGGGACTGAATTTACAAAATTGCTGCCCATGTTTGGCTGGGGAGATACTAGCGGTTGAGGGACTGAATTTACAAAATTGCTGCCCATGTTTGGCTGGGGAGATACTGGCTGTTGAGGAGGGACTGAATTTACAAAATTGCTGCCCATGTTTGGCTGGGAAGTGGCTTGCAGAGAAGACACTGAATTGACAAAGCTGCTTCCAATGTTTGGCGGGGACGACACTTGGGGTTGAGAAGGCACTGAATTCATTAAGACTCTGCCAGTGTTTTGCAAGGAGGGGGCCTGATAGACATTTGAGTCTGAAGTCATTCTGTTGGGAAAATCTTGCCACCTAGTTGGATTTTCATCATATGAAGCTGCCATAGGAGAGGGATTTCTGGAGTTTTGAGCTACATGATTGTTGTTAGATAAGTGGTACCCAGATCGATTAGTCGTCAAAGCATCCCCAGCGGATCCTGATCCTGATCCTGTCCTTTTGAAATTTGCATGAGAATTGATAACTTGAGGCCCTAAATTACCAAGATTGTGCCTTCTGTCCCTTCGAATGATATTGTTACGCGTACTCGGTAACTTCTGAGAGACCAAATGTGAGTGGAATTTGCTTCTGGACAAACCATATAGAGACTGTTGGTTTGGGATACCAAAATCAGCTGATGTAGAACAAGAAGGAATTGTGGTTGGGCTGAAGTCCTGATTTTGGGCCAGAGAGTCAGGTTGCATCAGTGCCAGTGGTGGAACTTGGGTTGTTTGTGGTAGTCCCATTGGTAGGGGAGCTTTCTCCCCATCCTTGAAAATACACCTTAGAAGTTTCCAGGACTCAACTTTATCAGTGGCATGACAATGGTCGTTACTCGAAGTGCCGTTGCCCCAATAGACACAAGGAGCAAGTGAGTCACAAACATAACAGTGGCACTGAAATTTAGAAGAAGTATAAATCAAAACAACACAATGCTTGTAAAGGTCCACAACACCATGCAGTACTCTTATCAGACGCTAAAATTTTAACATAGGTGATCTTACCTGGTGACATTGCCTCTCATGTGGAGTGGAAGTGAATGGAAACTTAGCACAGAGATGACGTGGATGAGGGTAATCTCTACAAGCAATCTGTGACCAAAACAGAAAACATTGAATAAACCAAACAGAAAATTATGAGAAAAGGCCAAATGCAAGACAATGAAGCTAATGATGGAACATGATGCCACTGGATAACCTAGCCACCTGGGCCCAAAATAGATACACCATGTAAATAATCGCACTTCAGGTTTTTATCAGTGAGCACCATTAGAATTTCAGCCAATTTGAATTCATTCTCAGACTGCATATTAACTTAATGCGTTATTCAGATGTCAGACGTTAATATACCTCTAATAATTGGTGAATCCTATCAACAATAATTTATCCTACCACTGCATATATGGAAAAACAATTTCATGTCCTCAAGTCAATCATGTGATCCAACCATTTTCTCTTAATTTATGATTGAACATCTGTACCTTTGAATATGAAGCAAATGATGCAGCACTGATGCCGCTAGACAACCTGGACCAAAAATAAATACATCAAATGAGAATAGTCTCACTTAAGGCTTCTTTCAGTAAAGCACCATTGGAATTTCGAGCTGATTTCAATTCATTCTCCAAGTGAATGATAATTTTGATTTACAGTTAGACATGGGTCATTCAAATTGGTCTGTTAGATAGGGATCCCAATCAGCAATAATTTCTCCTACCACTGCACATATCAAACGTATCCTTGATAATGAACCTTTCATGTGATCCTATTACTTATTTATTTCATTAACATAGAATCAACAGGGAAAGCAAGAAAAGTACAATTACAAAAATTATAATTTAAAAAAAAGGACCAACCAAATTACCAATAGGAAAAACACTCCCCCGCAAGGCAAAAATAGCTGGAAAAAAAACTTAAAAGAAATAAATCAAAACAAAAGAACACACAAATTCACAAACAACAAACAAGTGATCAAAGAAGGTGAAAAAAATAAAATAAATAAATTTAGTATAAGGAGGAGCTTGCTGTATCAAGCTCCTATCCCACACCCTTTGGCAGGGCAGCCTCTCCACCCCATCCCATCCAAAGAAGATGGGGGAAGCAAATTAAGAAATTGGGGGACTTTTTTTTTTTTGACTAGATTTAACACATGGATATATTTTTTTGTGTGTACATAAAAATTTGAGAGAGAGTCCACTTTGCACCTAATTGTTAAACTCAGGTAAACCTAATTTGGGTGAATCCTATTTTACCTAGAACGTGGATCGTTCTAGTACATGGAATGGAAACGGGAACGGGAACAAGAACGTGGTACGCCACATACTCTAAAATGTGATTCGATAGGAGTAGACTTGTATTTATTACACTTAAGAATTTAAGGTATTTCTAGAGTAATTTTCTTTTAAATATTAAGTATCCAATAATATTTTTTATTTTTTTTCATGTAGCAAATCATTTCTATAAAAATTATGACCCATTTTTTATTTTTTGTCTTGTCAAAAGTTAACTCCCTTTAGATTTTAGTTCATATATTTGAATTTTTTTTTTCTCTTGATTCCGTTTGTTTAGAAAGAAACGGATGATAGAAAATAAAAATGGTAGAAAATGAAGTGAAAGAAAAATGGTAGAAAATGAAGTGAAAGAAAGGAAAAATAAATGAAAATTTATTTCCTTGCATGCATTTGAATAAATGAAAATTTTTATAAAAAAATGATGGGAAAAAAATATAATCACTCCATAACCGAGAGTTGTGGAGAGAAATATGGACAAAAAGAAAAACAAAATAAACCTTGTCAAGATTTGTGGGAAAAAATAAATTTCCTTGTATATTTTGCAAGAAATTATTAGTCTAACTAACAAGTTAATTTGAGTTGTACAATAAACATTAGTTTCCATTACTTTCTACGACTCTTTATCTAAACAAACACATAAAATAAAATAAATTCCTTTCACTTTCTTGTATTATCTATATAACCAAACTGAGCCCTAAGGTAACATTTAAGGAAATATATTGAAAAAAAAACTTTTAGGATCACTTAAGAAAACTAAATTTATCATTTTAAAACAAAAGTGTATCATGTTTCAAAACATGCGTACCAATGCATAACAAGTACTAGCGTTTTATGGTAACATAGGGTTAATCTTTCAAGACATAATGAAATCAAAAAGTAATCTCTAAGTTTTAAAATTCTATCAAAATGACAGCATTGTCTAGACCCTCCCTAAAACACAAAGAAAGACATACTCTACTTTGTTAATTAACTTTTAACCAAATTGACAACCCATTGGGTCATAGGCCGCTCAGAGAATTCCATTTGTCTCAAACCTCTTCTTCAAACAAAAAAAATCCTTTAAAATCCATCCAGCCATCACCCCTACCATCTTGAATTTGCAATCTAATTTTCACCAACCGAGAACAGATTAAGTCAAACTTGCCCAGTTTATGAATTAAGAGTAAGTGCCTAGTCCCAATATAGATTCCATGAATTTTCTTTCCCATTCCATCTCCAAGAAATTGTGAAGGAGCATAACTAAAACAATTCTACAGAATATAATTGATATACTTGCAAGCTTTATTGTAACATAGATATAATTGACAAATCTCAATCATTTTGCAAACTTTAATTGGCATCACAACATGAATCTAAATTGCACAACAAAACTATTGAATTTCCAATCCAATACCTGCCCTTTCTGGCCAACAATTTGCAAATCATCGGAGTCATCATCGACATTGTTCTCAATCACATCAGGCTTATCTGGGTTGCCATCTAAGACCACACAGTCATCATCCGACGACTTCGACCTAGTCCTCGGGTTTAGCACAACCTCACCCACTACCACCACATCATCAGAATTGTCTTCTTCTCTGTCAAATTTCTCAAGAAGCTCCGATATCCAACTAACATCGTCACCACCACCACCAACAACACCACCATCTTCTCCGCCTCCTCTTCTCTCTCCCCAACACTCTTCATCCGAGCTTATGTCGAACACCACAGGCATCGAATCCATCGTAGATCGCTCACTACCTAGGGTTCTCGATAAATTTCCCAAACAAGCTCGAACCTTTCATGTGCTTTCCCATTACAATCAGGACTTTTCCAATACAGCTCCAACAAACTCGAAATTACAAAGAGGGGTCAAAGTTTCAAATGGGATTTTCAAAAATCTGTAGTGAATAATGAGCCTTTTCTCAGAGTTTCCGATCATAGAATTTTCCCGAGAAAATTGAGCGGAGAATGGGAGGAACCTTAGAGTGAGTGAAGAAAAATAGAAACCCTAGTCGACTTTCTTCTTTTGGGAAAAATGCTCTGTAGAAAAAATGGTGTTGGTGGAATGAGACGACTGGAGTTGAGTCACGACTCACTAGTCGTCAGTACGGGTCGATATTGGGCCGGGTCAGCCCAGACATTAAAATTGTACTGAAATCTGCTTGCGGGCTTAGTTTGATGGCCTTTTTTGATAGCTTGGGCCAGGCTTTGATAAAAAATGTTAGGCCCTTGCGTTTTGGGGGCTAGGGTCCTTCAATTGGGAATTTTCTTTATTTATTTATTTATTTATTTTTAATGTGAGTAAGCATACATATTCATTTTTCTCTTTTAAAAGATATATATATATACATATTAAAAATTAGTGGATGTTGAGCATTTTTCTAAACTATTTGTTAGTCTTTATAATTAATTTATTTCTTGATGGTGTGAAATATTATCTAATGATATGGATGAAATTGATTTTTGGGTTGTGAAACAAGTTAGGCCTTACTATAATTAAAAAATAATATGTTTGTTTCAGTTTTCTAAATTCAGTTTTTTTTAAATTGAATTTTTTATTTTTAGTGAATATTTTTAAAATTTTAAGTAATTTTTTTACGTTTTTTGATGTACCTTACTTAGATGTATTATTTGTGAAAAAATATTTAAAAAATTAATGAATACAGAAAAATATGAAAATGTACTGAATTTTTATTTTTATTTTATTTTTGTATTTTTACCATGATTTATCCAACAAATTAAGATTATTAGACTTGACCCAATTGATAATGGACTTCATTTTGGCCATCAACTATGGCCTTAATTGGCAAAGGCTAAAATTTGGTTTTTAAAGGTTAAAATTCACAAAAAGATAAAATAAGTTAACATAATTAATAAAATAAAATGTCACATTAAATCTATAATTATTTTACTTTTTCTCTCACAAGCATCTCATCTAACTACAAAAAAATCAACCATCTTTCTAAACACAAAAATTGTAGTCTATTAAAATAGCCAAAAACTAAAATAGCCTACTAAAATAGCTAACTTTTCAAACAAAGCCATATATCAAACCTTGTCTCAATTAACTTCTATTACCTAATTAATATATGAATTAATTGTCTTCTTACGGCCTTAGTTAATTAGCATTTCAACAATTAATCACTATGTTTGATTTCAATTTTTTAAATTTAATTTTTTTTAAATTATTTTTTTTGTTTTTTTTTTTTTTTTTTTTTGCAGGTGCAACCCTTTTGAGTACGTGATGATATCTTCGCATATCAATATTAGAGTTTACAATCTTATTTATTTATTTATTTATTTGAAAAAAATATCAAATGTTTTACATTTTCTGTAAGCTTGAAAATAATTATGTTGTAAATGATGATTTTTTTTTTCTTTTTGTTTCTTTTTGCAGATGCAAACCTTTTGAGTATGTAATATCTTCGCATATCGATATGAGAGCTTACTATTGATATCAAAACAACCCGTTTGGGAACAGGCTAATTTAGTAACTTTTTTGCTATTTGGCTAAAATATGAGCTAAAAAAAACTAGTATGTTTGGGATGACTTTTTTGACTTTTTACGAAAAGATGTGCAAAAAATAGAGAGAAAAGAGAATCTTTAATTTTTTTGTATGAATTGTTGGTTTTTTGACTTTTTTAATAATTTTTTGACTTTTTGGCTAAATCAGCCCTTCCCAAACGAGTAATATTGTCCCAAAGTGATCCATTTTGGCAATGGCTTAGAGACGGACATAAGGCCCCGTTTGTTTTCAAAGATAGAATAAAGAGAATTAATAGTGAGGGGATTGATAGTAAGGGAATTAAGTAAAATTGTGTTTGTTTTTATGATAGTTGTTGGTGTAGGAATTGTTAAATTATTCATATATAAATAATAAAACAAATAAAAAATACAAAAATATTAAACATTAATGTTCAAAAAAAAAATACCCAACATGTAAAAAAATAAAAAATAAAATAAACAAAAATAGTCTGGCAGACTATTTTTCTAATACCACGTCTATCTCCTCCATCCTAATTCTCGTTCCAAGGCCTATTTTAATATTAAGGAATTAGGAGTTCCTTCTCCATCTCTCAAAACAAACACCTCATATAGTGAATCTTACCTCATTATCAATCTCAATCTCCTTCCTAAACGGGGCCTAATAAGTGTTGCCCTGCTTAATCTATCTATTTTAACTTCTTCTTCTTTTTTCTTAAAAGTTTGAGATTGATATTTTTAAATTCGTAAGATTAAACAATAATGAATTTTCAAGATGATTTATTAATTATAATATTCACCATGGTCCAACCTCTTCTATGCCGATTATTAATAGATATTATAAGTAAACATACATATTATGATTATGTTGAGAAAATAGTTAAAAGTTCATTTTTTTTATGTTTTTTTGAAAAAATGTATAAAAAATGTGAAAAATAATATAACCCAAAATAAGTTAAAAATTGTAAAGTGACTTTTAACTTAAGCCTTATTTGTTATCATCTAAAAAAGTTAAAAAGTCAATATTCTATTTAAATTACATCATCTTATTTAAGTCACATAACTTCTCTATCATATCACTTCAAATCCAATCCATATCCAACTCATATTTCATAAAAATTCAAAAAATATATTTATTTAGAACATCTCAAACAACCCTTTACTTTCAAAAAGAGATCTTAATTTGTGTACACGTATATTGTTTATTTTATTTTATTTTTAAATAAAAATTCGCATGGACAAATCTAATGTCCAAATCTATTTGCATGACAACGTTGGACCACAATATGTGTCAATGAAGCGATTAGATAGTAATGCACATTAAAGCCCTGTTTGGGACGTTGTTTTAGTTAAAATAGTTAATAAATATAAAAAATATTAAAATAATTAATAAAATAAAATATCATATTTTACATATCAATTAATTATTTTTTCGCTCCCAATCATCTATTTAACTACAATTAAAATAATCAAATCATCTCAAACATTTTTTTTTTCATTTTATAAAATAATTAATAAACTAAGAAGCCAACTGCAATAATTAGAGGTGGTTTGCCATGCCCTAAATAAGTTCATCTTTTTATCCTTTTTTTTTTTTTGAATCACATCAATCAATATCTCCTCTCCATTTCTTTACGTATTTTTTTATAAAAAATTATAACATACATTCATTTAGAATATCTCAAACCACCCTTAGACTCCAAAAGAGTACTAGCCTCCGTTTGGGAAGTGGGTTGACTTTTTGGCTTTTTTAACTATTTGAGTCTGGGCTCAAAAGTTTGATTTGGGAAGGACTTTTTTGGCTTTCTGGACTTTTTTTGTGAAAGAAGAGTGTAATGATTATGGGTTAGATGTTATGTTTTGTCTGTTGTGGCTCAAATAGCTTATTCTGTCTTTTGTGGCTCAAAGAGCCAAAAGAGCCCAAATGAGCTATTCCCAAACGACGCCTTAGGTGTTAACAAAAATTAAGGTTTTTTTTGAGTATCCTAAAAAAGTTAAAAAATCACTATTATATTTAAATCATATCACTTCTCTATTACATCATTTTAAATTTAACCTATATTTTATAAAAAATCAAAAAATATACATAGATTATTCTAAACCAACCCCTAAATAAGTGATACTCTCATGCACTACCAATAAAATGTAAGTCAATCAGCAATTAACAGTACTCTTACTTTTATTTCGACAATGCTACGTAACTCAAATTTGGTGGCTCAAAAGTGGTTTAAATGGCCAAAACAACGTCGTCTTGAGTACAGAACAACATAAAAATGGCCAAAACGACGTCGTTTTGACAATTTGAGCCACTTTTAAATCACAAAATTTGAATTACGAGACATTTTTCCTTCTATTTTTTGTCCGAGTATGATCAACACTTGATTGTGACACCCAAAGTATGATCAACACTTGATTGTGACACCAAAAAAAAAAAAAAAAAAAAAACGACTATGACCGTATTGTCTTTTTCCAACAATTGAGATCAATTTTAGTTATGGGTGGTTATTTATTGGGTTGGTAATATGTCTCTATGAAATGACGTGGCCTCAATCAGTAATTTATTCAATAATTATAAAATACTAGAGGTTGTTTTTTACTTAGCCGTAGTTTGGCAAATTATTTAGGCTAAATAATCACAAAAAAATTAAAAAGTTAAAAAGTTAACAAAAAATTTGTCATTTCAAAGTTAAAAAGTCAAAAAAGTTAAATAAAAAAACCAAACAAATAAAAAAAAATCCCAAGATAAAAAAGTCAAAAAAATTTAAAAAACAACTAATAAAATCATTGTCAAACGACCTCTTAATGTTTTAAATGAATTACATAACGGAAGATTACCATTGAGCATTAACAACATGGTATTGTTCGTCATAACTTAAAAAATTTTAAAAGTCATTATCCTATTTAAGTCGCATCATCTTATTTAAGTCATATCACCTCTCTACCACATCATTCAAAACTCAACCCATACCCATATCCAACTCATATTTCATAAAAAATCAAAAAGTGCACTTATTTAAATCATCTCAAACCACCCTGTAAATAATATTTCATGACGTAAATAATATTACATAATATTCATGAGGGTAAATTACAAACACATTCTCTGAGATTTACTTAAATTATAAATTACCTTGTGGTTCTAGAAATTACATTATGCTTCCTATGGTTTTTAATTTCATAACAAATAGGTTAATTTATTAATAAATTATCAAATTAATTAACAGTTTTTAATAATGTTAAAATTTTATTTCAATTAATACTTCAAATAATTTTATTATTTTATATGTGAACAGTTAGAAATTTTACTTTTTTCAATTAATTCTGTTAAATAAAAAATTCTGACAAAGAAATATTTGTAATTTTTTAAATCACATGAGACAATTTGTATTTTAGACAAATCCTTACCCTACTCATGAAGTGTCTATTAATTTGAAACAATGTTCTGGATTACAAAAATTGAAGGATATTAGTCTTTATATTTTCTCAATTGTATCATTTTAGTTCATATAATTTTAATTATATTTATTTTGACTATTACTTTTAGATTTGGTGTTAATTTTGATCAATTAATAACGTT